ATGACCGCGTTCAGTGTCTTGCTGAGGTTTGGTGGTTTTTGTCTTTCAATGGATGTGGGTTCACATGCTTTTAAATTTTACTTGTGTGGTTGGACACGGCTTACATGAGCAGGGACTACGATTTGAGCTAATCACAAAAGTGGCCGCTTCTATACTATCAGAGTAGATCCAAAGTCTTGCTCCGTGACTTACCCTATGTCACGAGCACATAATGCTATAAAACACTGTCTTAGTCCTGATTTCGTAGATGTTCTTAGCATAAAGTCGACAGGTGATTCAATCAAGAGGAGGATTTTCCATTTCCGACACTACCAACAGCCTTCCAAAGTGGGCGTTGTAGGCGGATCTTACTTTAAATTAAAAGGCAATTCAGTATTTTACAAGCCTTTCACAAGCAAGCCATGAAAGTGATTTTCTCCAGGCAATCTTTTCATCACTTCAATATACAATTTTTTATTCCTTTGGCTACTTTATTGTATGCTATAAATTGAACATCAGCTCAATGAGTGCTTTTGAATGTCCTGCCACAACTGCAGTCGTAGGATGCTGGGAATAGACAAGATTTTTGTGCAATATTGGGGCGTTGCCTGCGGTGCGTGAGCCCACTTCCAGTCTTGTACTATTTTGTCCCTGTCGAAAATTCAATAAAAGGGGTGCGGGTATCATCCACGCCATTATACTTAATGCGTCTGAGCTTTTGTTCCGATTGGAAATGTCGTTTACCGTCGTAAATATACACAAAATCTTGACAACTTTCTACATTAAACTATTTTTGTTTGTTAATTTGTTGGTCGCTACATATAATTCAATAAATTGAGCCAACTGACCATATATGGTTTGATTATGTCACGCGCTTAAAAATCCATTTTTGACTAGACTGTCTTCTTCGCTCCTCAAACTGCATCCTTTTCGTCTTCTTAGGCAGTGTCTGAAGAGGTTTTAAGGCTCTTACCTTCAACTAAATGTCCCCTTATAGCCCGGGGTATTGCAAAACTATGGCCAGCTGTACGAAATTGGAACTTGCAGTATTTAATCAAAAATATTGATGGGAAAATCCAATTCCGAATGGGCCGAAAGGGAATCAGTGAAGTTCAGCGTGAGTGCGATGCTGTCTATGTTTCCGCCACTGTTGAGGAGTTCGCGCAGTGGGTTAATAATTGCTGTCAGGAAAATAATCCGTTTGTTGACTACTTGTGCAGCGAGTGGTGGGCCTACGCCAGTTACCTTCATATGCCTGCTTGCCCTCCATTGACAACTCTTATTGAGGACGTTTCGTGGAACGCTCTTTCCCCACACTTTCCGAAAAAGAGTGACTCCACCTTCTGGCTTGGTACCTCAGGTTCACACACTGCCTGCCACTACGACACATACGGAGTAAATTTTGTCCTCCAAGTTTTTGGGCAAAAGCGCTGGATCTTATTCCCTCCCAGTGATACACAGTTCATGTATCCCACTCGAATACCCTTAGAAGAGTCAACCGTCTTCAGTGAAGTGAACTTTCAGCAAGTGGATTTTATAAACTTTCCACTTGTTCTCAACGCATCACCTATAGTGGTCGTACTTCAACCTGGAGATGTGCTGTTCATTCCTCGACACTGGTGGCACTTCGTTGAGTCAATAGAAGATGGCGGTCCTGTAACATGTGCAGTTAATCTTTGGCTTGATCAGCCATCTCTAGACAATGATGAAAGGTGCAAAGAGTCGTTGACACAGCTGGTCTGTTTATCTCTCATGCATTCATGTAAGGACAAAGGCATTTTCCAATCTTTGCATTTTCCTGAGCGAGACTTGGCCCTGTCCTCAGACTGGTTCGAAATGCTTAAGAGCGCTTTAAGGGTCAATCTTCAGCCGTCCGTATCAACTGTTTCTGAGTCTGAGCCCCCGGCCAAAAAAATTAGACATGATTCTATGGACTGGGTGGTCCCTCCAACTTGTGACATCGTTGAAATTCTACCTGAATCACAGACATTGGATGGCCTGCCTAAAAGTGATCCCTTTTCCACTGATAAATTGCTTCGTGCCTTTACAGATCCTGAAGTTATCAGTCTTGTATTTTCCAAGTTTTTTAAACAGCAATAAACTTTTTCACAAACTGTCTTATGTTTTCGATGTACATCCGCACTTTCAGGAGTTAAACTAGCCCGTGTATAATTTCAGTCTGCCGTAGCCAGTCAACCGGGCACTTCGCTCGGAGCCGCAACCTCAGGGAAATTAGTACTCAGATGCAGATCTCCGTCAGGACAATTGAACATCGAGTTACCATCTGACTCCACAGTCGGAGACTTGGCAGACAAAGTTTGTTCTTTCACTGATTTGACGAGAAGTAGCTTGTCTTTGAGATACGGCTATCCACTAAAACGGCTTGATCTTGGTCCTGAGAACTGCTCAACGCTTCTCAGTCAGGTAATGTGCACACTCAGTCTATACTAGACACAATTTTTCCAAAGGATCCTTTACCACCTCCTTATGTATGTTCTGGAACGGGCCAGTATCAGGCTTAT